AAAAAAAAAAAAAAAAAAAGAAATTTTTTTGTCATATACTTTAAGTGCTCAAATTTTTTCTTTTCTATTCTGTACGACATAAAATTCTGCATACAGATGAACAAAAAATAATTCTTCACTAAATCCTCTTTACTACAAAAGAGAAAGAAAATATGTTAAGTAACAAAAAAAAAAAACAGAAGCTGTAGAAGACGATTCCATTATTTGATGATCAAAATTAGCTTCAAACTTTACATTTTTATTTTTTAGATATTACCTCCAAATACAACATCTGAGTGCGCAAAAACATTACAAACATTAGTGGCAATCAATTTTCAGCAAAAAAAGATGACTCAAAATACATTGAAAGAAAAACTTTGAAAAGGTGAAGCGTCAAAAAACTTGTAGAAAACTTTTGTGCCTTGTTTAGACTTATTTTTTAAAGTACTATTTTATAAATTTTAAGTATCTAACCGTATACAGCATTTAGAGAATTCAGGCTGCAGATGGATCGATTTTAAGAAGCTAGTTTTTTAAACAAGTGATTTTTGAAAGGTATCAGCTTAAAAAATCCATTAAAGGAAATTTCTTTGTTAATTTTTAGCATTTTTTTTTCTGTTCTGCCATTAAGAGATGTAATGCAAGGCAAATTTGGTGACCCGAAAAAAAATATCTTTCTTTATTCTTGAAGTTTTTAAACATTTATTTACTTTTCACAGAATTTAAAGGAATATTTCAAAATGCTCAAAACAGCGTTACACTACTATTTGTTTCAAAAAGCAAAATACAACAAGTTTTGGCAAAAAGTAAAGAATAAAAAGTAGAATAATAAAAAATAATAGGTAGACAAAAGGAAAACAGCAAATTTGTTCATCTTGAAATTTGAAGTTTCCAAATAGAATATAAAAAACTTGTATGAAGTTGCTCAAAATGTAATATACAGCTAAGCAAGAAACAGACCTTTTTTGGCAGAGAACGTTTTCACATTTAGTATTGTAGAATGGACACATCGATGTTTTTCAACACCGGCACTGTGAGGTGTTCGACCTCAGTGCGAAGGATTCAGGAGAGGTGACACAGTTTATTATTGAATAGTACTTTTGATTCACTGAAGCAGAAACAGCGAATATTAAGTTATGAAATGCTACAGAAATGAACATTTTTCCTTTAGCATTTGAAAAGCTTTGTTATAAGTCGTCAAATAAAAGAAAGAAAAATTATAGAAAACCACTCCCTAAACAGAACAGAGTTTTAACTAAATCAGTGCAACAACTTCTAATCTTAATTTTCTTTCAGCGGACACCGTTACATTTGAGCATCTCTGAGCGGTTCTTTTAACGTTGCGAAATACTTGTGCATAAGGTAACAGATGTTAACAGAAAAATATACTTCTATATATAAATGGCTAACTGAAATTGATAAAGGATTTTTACCTTTCAAATAAAGTGATTAACCAACAAATAAAATTCTGTAGAATGAGAAATAGCAGGTGTCCATTTAACATGCAGAATGCTGTTCAGTTCTAGCGAAGGGGAGGGGGTTGCATAAAAAAGAAAAATTTTTTAAAAGTTTTTGTTGGATGTATGATTATCTCCCCTTCTCTTTCTTCATATTTCAACCGCCTAAGCAAATTTGGAGCCTTCAGCTTCCAAAGAATCGTTGCCTTCTTTTTTTTTCAGGACAAACTGCCACATCTGCCACTTTGAATTTTGAACAAAAATGGCGTCGTGAGGTACTTGTCGGAAACATGGTCATATAACAGCAGTACAAAAATATTGCTTTTCTTGTCATACAGTTGTCTAAAATTTGGTGTTGTCTTTGCAATTAATAAGGTAACAGCTGAAAAAAAAAACAGTCTTAGCAAGTAAATTATACAATTACAAATAGCAGTATAAAATTGAAAAACATATTCTGCTTGATTTCAGTGTGCGCAGTTGTTTCTCACTTTCGCCTAAAAATTCTGATGTCGTAAAGAATTTGGGAGAACATTTTACTGAACAGTAAAAATCTTTAGCATTGGCTAAGCACCGCTTTCTTTCAACATTTTAGTAAGCTTTTGCACCTTCAAGTTCTGAATGTATTGAGAAAGTTTTTTTGCTAACCAACCAGCATTCATTTATTATGGTTTTTTCTTTGATACACACACATACATGTAATCTTCTTCTGCTGATAAGAATATTAATTCAAAAATGTCCCAAAAAAAACTTTATTTTGTTCTAAAATTAAAAAGAAGATTATCTTGAATAAGAAATGCAAACTCAAGTAAAATGTAGTTGCTCAGAACCTAATAAAATGCACTTTGATTAGTACAGAAAAGAATATAGCAATTTATAATCTAAATTTAACAGAGCCTAAAAGCCTTAGCTAAACTTTGAACATGTTTTGCAACCTTTTAGTAGCAAATGGCATCGGAGAATGGACACATCGATGTTTCACTTCGGACGTGTTTCCACAACGCAGCGCAAAGGCGATCAAATTCGTACAAAAAAAAAAAAAGAAAGTTAAAACTTCAAAGCAATAAAGGTAGGATCTCTACACCAAAGATGTTTTTTTTTATCTTTTTTCACTGCTAATTATCCTTTTCGTGAATACAGGTAGACGACATATATTGCTCAAATTGGCCATGGATTAGATCAACAACTATCATAAAATCATGAAATTTTTATTAAAAAAATGAAATGATTCTTGTGAAATTGACTGCAACGATGATTCTCATCTGCTTCGCTTAAACTATTAAAAACTCTTCAAGACCGCCGATGGTGCTAAGTCAACCGTAGAATAGTCGTTTGACCAGAAGATCTCGTACAGTAAAAAATAAATATGATAGTCAGCTTAATTTGGATAGAGCTTTGCTTATATTTTTTACTGCATTTTTACTTGTTTTAATTTGATCCATTTCTTATTTCATATCACCTGCTGTTATTCGTCTTCACTAGCTAATCTCTCCCCTGAAAGAGAAGAACAAAAGTTGGAAATTATAAATGAACGCCTGCTCAAATTGTATTCTAAAAACGTCACCACAAAGCAATTTTTCATCAAGCAAGATCCATTTGAGATTGTCCAAAATAAGCACGGTCGAGAATGGTTAGCTGTTTCCTCCTTCTCGCATGACTAATGAAATGCTATATTACGCAATAATACCGGATGTCTCAAAATAAATTATTCTAATACTGTTGTCCAAATTACAGGGAGTTGACCCCAACAGTTTTTTCAATGCAACTGTCATTAATTTTGTAAGTCATTTCTTTGCCAAAACCCCTACAAAAGCGATTTATAATACTAATTTGAAGATGATTTATTAATCCCAGGCAACGAATTATCATTTCAACCTGTTCTCCTGCAGCTATTTCAAAAACCAGTAGATTAATTCTGTGCTAACTTCAAATGACTATTTATTCGATTTTTTCATTTGTCTTTATTCTGCACTTGCAGAAATCGGCAATTTTCCTCTTCCAATGTCCAAAAGTCTAATCCCAAAAAGAAACCACATTTTCAGAAAGCATATTACTTACGCTTTTATTTCGCAAAAAAAGCAAAAAAGTATAGTCCAGAAGAACTTCTCAATTACTGGGACCTTTCTTTCTAGAGAAATTCCTGACGCACCGATGGCTCCAAGCAGCAACCTTAATAATTGAAGTCAAAGTTTATTTATGAAATACTAAACAATCTCAGCAGAATAAACAATTTGGGCGATGAGATAACTTGTATTTTATTTCATACTTCTCAAAAAGTGGCAGACAACCAAACGTCTTAACAGAATTTAAAAACAGCAATGCGCTGCAAATTTTTTGAGATACACACAACAAAAACTTGGCATGTAACTGATTCATAAGTAGAGAGGCCCCTGCCATATAATAACTGATTTCAGACTCTATCTAGTCTGTAAGAGGTTCCACTGCAACTGTTCAATAAAGGCAAAGCTAAGGTCGCTTCAAAAGAATACGAGCAGTTGCACAAACAACTTCTTCAAGGACATACTTCTAGAGTAAAAGCCTCCAATTTTAGTTCATATTTGCATTTGAAACAAGACCAAAAGAGTAACCAGAAAGCCACAAAAATAAGACTAAAGTAAACAAATTCTAGAAGAAAAAATTAAAGACAAAAGTATAAGATATCTGCATTTGTTTCACTCGACACTTTTTTTCAGCAGCAATGACGGAGGTTCACAGTACAACTACCTTTCAGCGTTATTACGCTTCCATCTTGAATACAACACTTTTTTTTCCTGAACAAAAATATACATTTGAGAGAAAAAAAGATAAAAGTAGAAAACATCCAACAAACAAACCTTTTCTTCTCTTCCAATCTCCTTAATACCTTCCTCTTTTCTGGAAGACACTTCCTGTCTGGAACAATATTTTTTTCTTAGGATCTCAAGCTCCTGAAATGAACTAAAAAACTGAAGGTATCTTCCTTATGACCGACACTATTCCAATGCAGATAAGCAATTCTTTTGTTCGAGAAATAAGACGGCTGACAGATGCACAGCAGTCCTAAAAACCACGAAGACAATAATTTGATAAGTTCTACCTCAACAGCCTCGTCCCTTTCGCGCATTACATTGTAACATTTAAACATTAACTGAAAAAAAGGAATTAAAATACAGTAATACTCATTCACTGTTACTTCAGTGAAAAAGGAGAAGCAGAAGCTAAATATCTACCATGTTAAGATCGCCTTGCAATTTTGAAACTTCCCTGCTCAAGCTTTTACATACATATGGGTATCCTCGAGTCATCTACAAAACGATATAATTTGCTTGAAGAATGACAAAAAAGCAGCTTACCTATATAGTTCTATTAAAGATATTTTGTAAACTGGTTTAAGAATTTTTACACTTATAACTCATTTTTCAAATTCTAAAAAATCACTATTAAAAAACTTCAGCTTGAATTTAACCTTGGAAATCCCATTCATTTCCTCCAAATACTGAGCCAGCTTCCAAACCACTAACTTCTCCATTTCCAAAGATAACAAAACAAAATGCTTCAACCCCTTAGATTTGCTAACCATGTCCAACCTATAAGTGAAACAGTGCATAGCTGCAGAAGAAAGGAAACTACTAAATGAACAAACTCTTAGAATAAAGTTAATAAAATTTATTCAGAACCTCAAAGTTAATTTTTCCCAATTGAATATATCAATAATTCTGCTGCTAAATGAGATCATATAAATAGCCATGACTTATGATAATAAATTAGTAGTTTCTTAATAAAAATAAGACAATTATATCATAAAGAAAAAAACCTGAACTTCGTTTCGCCGTCACTGCTGGTCCCCTTGAATACTCCTTTTCCCTTCTTCACTTCCTCTAAAAAATCTTTGATGAATCCTGGAAGGTCCTCAATTTCAACCAGAAGCCGCTGCTCATTCTTCATTTTCTTATAATCTTCTCCTTTAAGACGAAGCGCGTAGACAAAAAAATGTTCATTATCCGAGAGCGTAAAAGATAAAGATATCTGTAAAAAACAACGCGAAAATAGAAAAAACGGAAAAAAATGAAAAAATGGAAAAGAAACTAACACATTTTCCCGTAAAATAAAGAACTTATGAAAAAAACCATTGTGTCACGAAATAAGTAAGTTGTAGCGAAAAAATAAAGTAAAATATAGTATACTAAAATATGTATAATCTAATTTTACAACAATGTGATATGGTATGATACAGTTTAACATGACAGGATATTACATAAAGTAGAAAAAATAAAGTAATAAATAAAATGATAATCAAAATAATAAATAAATGAACAAACAGTGCTGTAATACTCCAGTCGCTGCTCTACTTCTAAATTCATAGACCGTTGTCGTAGACTAAAAGTTGATAGTGGTTTCAGAGCATTAAGGCATAGTATAAAAAAGAGTTTTTTAATACCTGCTTCCAATCGAGCAGCGTTTATAATTTACTTCTTAATGAATTTAAGTGACGACTAACCAACTTTTTTCAGACGCCAGTGAAGCGATTGGAGTAGACGGTTCGACATCGACAAAAATTTCTTCATCTACAACGATTTCTTCGAACATCTGAAATGAAGCTTCAAGAAATGTTTACAAGAAAAAAAAAAGGAAGACATTTAGAAACGGCTCCGAAACCCCAATTTTATGTAATTACAATATCCAAATCCTTTAATAAGACCTTGGCTTTTTAACCTCTTCCTATTCTATACATAAAACTCACAAAGTGACAGAAATAACGCTTGACCGTGAGCAATGTAATTTTTTTTTCTGTTGCCTGATGAAAGTGATGACCAAATCAGTGGTCCTATGTTTCAATGGACATCTAGTCAATCTTTGTGCGAAAAAAACTGCTCCTTTTTCGCTTTTATGGTCACCTCACAAAAACAATTCACACTCTGTTGCGAAGTCAGTGCAGTACTTCCAACCACAATCACTTGACAAAATCTAATCCAAAGTCCAAGTACTGCAAATAATGCAAATTTGTTATAAAATGAACCAGTGTTAGAGATGAATTAGATGAATTATCAGCAAAATTTTGGGTATAATATAACAGAGAAGTAGTGAATGCCATTAAACACATTGGAAAATTGTGGCGGCTAAGGAGTTTCAACAACTGTATTTTAAAGAAAGTGGTAAGAAACAGTAAAAAATGCTTATCCACTTAGTGAGTTTGTTAGATTTAAAAGAGGAGGGGTTTAGTCATAACAACAAAAATGCTGTACAGCTTTATTTTTCACATTTTCACTTCTCGGAAGTCGCCAGATACCTTTCAAAGAACTTGGTAACCTAGCAGAACTTGGAGAAGGCGGACAGGCTGTGGTTTACCAAGGTATTTTCAAGAGATCAAAATAGTTGCTTTAAATTAAGTCATCGCAATTTAATCCAAATTTTACAAACTGAACGTTAGCTATTATGCATGTCCAAAAAACATAAATCTTTTGACATTTACCTACTTGTCTAAAAGTTGACCCTGTTAGTATTTTTGAGACAGTATTTGGCGAATAATTGAATATGAATTTCACTTTCATTGTCAAAAGGAGACTCTTGCGTAGACGTTGCATGTAGCATTTACTATGGTTTTTTGTAAAGTATTAAATAAAATTTATAAGAAGCTTTCATTTACCAAAACGCATTTTTTCGTACTTAAGGGGTATTATGAAAATAAATTTTCAAAAGATCAATTACACAACGAGAAACTTAAATGAGGACAAAAAGAATTTTATGGGTGATTAATACAATTCGCTGATGGGATAAAATATTTACATTCAAAAGAAATTATTCATCTGGATTTAAAACCTGCTAAGCAAATGTTTTGCTTGAAATTTGTTAGTGCAAGCAGCACGTGGTTTCGTTTGGCTGTTTTAAACATGCTTTCCACTGTTCGCAAAGAGTTAAAAGTTTGCTTTTTTTACTCCGCTCAAGTGTGGGAGCGATTGGAAGGTAAAAGTATAACCTTTTGTGGCACTTATAGATACTGATTTATATATTGCTATGTATTTGACAGATTGCTCTTGAATTGTTTGCAGATAACGTGGGTTTTTTCAAGGTTGGCTTAACACACATTTTTTTAAGTCAAGTTCTTGATATTCTTGCCTTTTTTTACTTCTTTCTTTATTTCCATTTACAATCTAGAAGTATTTAATAAGAATAACCCTTTTAACTTTTATTTGCTACTCTTAAATAAGCTATTGACCGGTTTTAAAAAGATGTCTAGAGTTTTAGGGTAGTCATCTGGGTGACTATAACTACGTTAGAACCTTATAATAGACCTAGAAGACGTCATATTGACAAGGGAGTATTTTCTAGATAAGAGCATAAAAAATTCTGCATTTTTAAGATTATTATTGTTAACAAGTAGACTTGGTTTTTCCTGCTAGTTTTGTTAATAAAGATAAAAAATTTATGGCAATATAGAACTCTGCCGGCTGGAGAAAATGCCGCCAACACTAGAGAAATTATTAGAAAGATGCTGATCAAAAGTTCCGGAGAAAAAACCTATTTTCTACGAGATCTTTACTACTCTGCAGGTCCTTTACAATCTGATTTATCACTATTTTCTAAGAATCTATTTTTAGCTACAATTTTAATTAGTTTCTTAAATTATCAAACCGACCTAAAGTCAGTGAGTCTAAAATTTTTTTACACATTATGCGAAATTTAAGTCTGGCTTAAAAGATGGCAGGATCTCGAAGAACGATAGGCGACATTAGCTTCTACATAGACCAGTGATGCCGAGGAAAACTCGAAAGGAATAAAAGAAAGAATAAAATTATTTTTATCAAAAAGTAGAAGATGGAATTCTCAGATCTACCAACAAGAAAATGAGGAGAAATCGCGTGATGAGAACTTAAACTCGGCATTTTGTTCAAAAGCCTTAAATCAAAGAAAGTTTCTATACTTACAATGAGTATAAGTTTAATGTTCCTGAATGGTAACGCTGAATTTGGAAAATCATTAAAAAGAATTTCATTTTTATTACTTTTATTGGCTTCTGTTCTTATATTTTATACATTTGCGACATTTCTTCAATTCATTTTTTTTTTAAACGTCTTCTTTTCCATGTAAAATTCAGTTAATGTTTTGGCCTTATTCATCCTCGCTCTCAAACAGCTTTATCTATTAGGGTACAATTTGGAGTGGTCATTAATTTCGATAGGAATTAGCAAAGTACTACTTAAGTTCTTACTGTCAAAAAAACTTTATTACACGACACTCTCTGCGGTTCTAAATTTTTCAGCTGCTGTTTTATATCTCAATTTAATTTACTCGGAAATCCTTCGAAACTGTCAACGAACCACTACTCAGACATTTAAAATTAGAACTCGCTTTCTGTAGCCTACATTTTTTTCTTCCAGTTATCACAGTAACATTTCTAGTAAGCATACTGCCAAATTAAGACTCATATAGCTTTTTTTCAAAGTCCGCTTTATTGTCACCTGATAATTAGTAGTATCTGGAGTACATCAAATCCTCTAACAAAAAACAGTGGTAAGAAAAATATGGTATTCAAATCTTTTTCTGGGTGCCAGAAAAACTGACAAAAGGATAAAAGCTCAAGTTATAATGTTCAAAATTTCAATAAGTCTGATTATTACTAACTGTCGACAAAACTTTTGAAATTTAGGCATTTTTAGTAATTACTTTACTTTCTAACAAAATTTGTACGAAGAATTGGCAGGCTGGTGGGCTTGGCCAGTTTACTCAGTCAAAACATCTCTGCTTTGTTCCTCCAAACAGCACAGACTGCAGTTAACTAAATTAAAAACTTTTACTTGTTTAGTCGACCGTCTAGAACATAATGCCGTTTAAAAATCGCCACTTTATTGATCTCCAGAAATTGTGCTTAATTTGCTGTAAGATTAATTAATATAAATTTTTCTTCTATCTTTGCTTTGGGTTAATTTTCTGCATCAAACTCTAGAGAAAACATTATATGCTTTTATCTGTGTTTTTATTCTAGACCATTTTTTTAAACCAAAGGAAAGAGCAGTTTCTTCCAAACAAGCGTTGTATTGGCAGCAAAAAATAAAGGTTGTTTGAAATCAAAGTACAGTTGCTTCTTTTCATGCTGTGTCCCCGAACTCTTTTTTGAACTGCAAAAAATTTAAAGCATTGATCAACCGATTCTCATGGTGTATCAGACTTCTTCGGGCAACGTCTATTGTGCTGTAGTAGACGGTCATTTCACCAGTAGATCGTTGCGCTGCACGAATAGTGCGCTATCACACAGATTTTCGTGTTTTAAAGAGGATCTAACTATTCAGAAATATACTTATGACGAATCATTATAACTAAAACAATTTGCCAAAATCTTAACTCTTTTTCGATATTACTGTTTTACAGCAGTCTTAGCAGTCTCTTTTCGCAGATAATCAAGTCTAATGCAGTGCCTTGTTGGCAATATTGCAGTAATATTAAGACTAAAATTATTTTAGGAAAAAGTTGCACTTTATCCAAATTAACCTTGTTAAAATTTCGCTTCTCTCTGACACATTTAGAAATCCCGTTTCAAAGTACAGCTTTTGATTTCTAAGAACTTCTGGCACACGACGGTATTATTATTGTTCAATAACAGTACCAACACAAAAGCAAAAGGTAAAAATCAGTCAACTTGCAAAATATAGCTTATTCCTTAATAACAGTCGTACATTTGACTTGTGATCGCTGCTTCAAATAGAGTATTTATGAACAGGAGACGATGAGGTTGAATCTTCAAATTTAGGAAACAGTCAATAGCCGTGGCAAACACTGTCACTATGATTTATGCCGACAGAGTTCAAAATATGGATTCAAATTTGTTAGAATACAAGAAAGTTTTTAGAAAAGTAGGTTTATTGCAGCTAAACAGCACTATTTTTGTTCTGAATTCTCAGCGTCTGAATTTCCAAAACTTGATAAACGTAGTCTCAACTTTTTATTATATACTGTTTGTGATAAATTAATTTTTACTTTTACCGTTTTCGTATTTGAGATTAATTTGAAACTGAAAATTGATTTCTGTGAATCATTTCACACATTTGACAGTAGAAAAACAAAAATTTAAGAAGTTTGTTGAGGAGGTAGGTAATTCTGTTTGTCAAGCTTAATGGTCATCACACAGCATACAAAATTAAATTTACAACCAAACGATACGTCAAATGCTTTCTCTGACAATCTTTTTTGATCTCTGAACACATTGCCAAAAACCTTTCCACCTCCCTTTAATTTCGTTGCAAATATTTACTTCTAATTTACCCTTAGCATCTCTAAGGCAAAAACTATATTAAATTTTACAAAACTGAACATAAATCAAAGCTGTTTAACTGCTATCTAAAACCTACGCTGTTGATTTATAGATACACAGCCTTATGGGCACAGTCACTGATATAAAAATCTACAAAACTTCGGTGCTACAACTTTTTACTGAATTTTTCACTTTAATTTACCAATTTTTGTTGTTTTTTGTAAAGTACTTTCTCCGCAATTATTGTAGTGTTCTAAAAAACCTTTATAATACCTGTAGTTATAGTTGCTGAAAAGTTTTGCTAATAATAGTGGTTCTGATCAAGGAAAAACTGAAATGAACG